TCAAATTAATTTCTCTACTAATTGGAATTTTCTCTTACAGCTTGAGCCTAAGTGTGTCGCAGGATACCCTCTAGGTGACAGTTCTTGATTACTTTTTGCTAAATAATTCGTTCTTATTGCGAAATAGGAGCACTATTTATCAGTCTGTAATAAAAGACGTGAGCAAATTCCGTCTTTTTTAAAGACAAAAATTTTTGAAGCGAAATACCCAAAAAGAAGTTTGTAAAAAGAAAGTTGTTGGTAGTTTTACAACCTGGCCGGAGTGCGAATGCAGCATCTTTGCTCCCATTTGTGTTTCGACGACTTCGAACTGCGAAGGAAAATATGGACGATTTTCGAAGACTCGATCAGACATACCGACCTGATCAAAGACAGGCACTTGGATCAGCTGCTGATGTGTGCAATATATGTGATCTGCAAAGCAGGAAACATCACCAAAATGACCGACTTGTTTGCCGTAATCATGAAATTTTATCGGCTGCAGCCGCAAGCTTCCAGCTCAGTCTACAGGGATGTTTTGATCGAGACTACCAAAGGTATACGCAAGCTTTCTGCCCGATTGCTGTGCTGAAAAACCATTTTGCAGATGGAGACCTAATTTCCGAAGTTCGGAGTGATTTGATCCAGTTTTACAACTCTGTGTATGTAAAAGTGATGCGATCCTACGCGGTTAAGTTTCAGCCCAATTCGGACCCAAAGGTAACTACGTTTATTCATGGCAAGTCGCGTTTTGAAGCTTCATTTTTCCAGAACTCGATTCTTCTGAGCCCGCTTCCAGCCAGCAGGAAAAACCTGTTTGCCTCCAATTTGCAAGTGGTTGGGAACGTTTTCGTGAAGCCTTTGGAGACGGCCACAACGCAAAGCGGGTCGACTTTCAATTACTACTTCAGCCGCAGCCCTTCTAAAGTAAGTTAAATTTTGCATTTGAGACGGCATTTAGCACAGCCGATGTTGCAGGATCTAATGAACATAAACCGAGCAATCAACAGCAACGGGATTCAAGGGAAAAGGTTACTGATTGATGAAGACGGAAATATGCCGAACAGCAAGCGGATTTCAAATAGAAAAGTCCAGTCTCTAGTGGAGGACCGGCAGCGGCAAAACGCAAGCGAGTAACCCGAGTTTTAGTGTATTTTTACGTTTCAATCAGTCGTGTTAAAGTTCTTTTATATTTTATTCTGCTAAGGTTGATTGGCACGAAACAGGAGCCCATATTTGCAATATGATTTTACTCTTCGCCCATCGATCAGGAGTTCATTTTCTAGTTCGATTCCATTTGCAATTCAAAATTGCTGGTTTTCATTGATTCAGGAAACTTTTGAATTTTACTCAGAGAAGTTATGGGCCTGTTGCGTTGTTTTAGTTTATTTGATCTCAGGAGGGTGGCCATGCTCCTCTGCAATTTGTTAACGGAGAGATTGTAGCGCGAACACACCGTAAGAGATTTCAAATATTATGGCAAGTTTGTGGGTTTGGCGAGTTTAATCGTTCGTTTGTGAACTCGCCAGATTTCAACTGTAATTAATTCAACAAATAATTGTTTTGCTATTTTCATACACTAACAGATGAAGGCGCGAGTGAATGAAGCCTCTTTGCAGTCTAATAAGTGCACTTGAGGGATGCAATTGTGATTAAAAACCACCTCCATTTAATCTTTTAGCGCCTTCGGCCACTCACGTCTGCAAATAGTATTCCTAAGGTTTTTTATTTATTGACCCTGTACAGGACAGGGTTCTTTTTATGCTACCTTTATGTGGAGTAAGATTGTGTTGACTTTTTATTACTAATGAGGTAACTTTAGTTTTGCGGTAGTTTAAGCGGCGCATCGCTGTAACTTTTAGGTTTACAATAAACTAGTAAGTTGATATTCCCAAACCTGCGTTTCCCATGCCGACTTTTGAGTGCCCAAAAAAGGGTGGCGCAAGATTATTGCAAAATTTCATGTTTTCCGTCCCGTTTTTGCTCATTTCTCGGAGGCACAATGAGCAAGAACGCTCATTTGTACATCATTCTAGAGAGAAATAAGTGGCCTTTTCAGAAAGTGAACCATCGATAAGAAAATGTTGGCAGTTTTCTCAAAAAATGCTTGAATTCAAGAAGTTTTTTTGAAGCCGTGGTCTATCGGAATGTCTTCCTGACGTTTCGTCCACAACTGCGGTGGACATTTTCAAAGGCGATGAGACAGTGGGCGAAGTGATCTCCCGTGCTTTCCGACTAAGAATGATGTTCATTCCGATAGACCACGGCTTCAAAGCCCGGAAAACATTTATAAATGTAATCTGACCGGCCGTGAAAGCCTTCATAGTTTTTTTGAGTTGCAAAACCCACTTGAACATGACGCTGCTTTTTTCAAAGTTTCCCAAGAACCATTCGTGCCACAGAATTCGTTTTGGCATCGTTGGATAGAGAATTGAAAAGTCCATTCAGTCGTAACAACGTGAGTGAGAATTTCCAATTTTCACGCTAAAAACTTGGTCAAAAAAAATTATTTTTGCGGTAGTTTGAGCGGGCCTGTGACTCCGTTTTACAATAAAGCAATAAGATGGTCAAAAATCATCAAAATTTCACTCACACCCATCCGCCAGTAATTCATTACTTCCCATGGAACATTTTCCACACCAAATCTGTACTTCTCCACTTTCGAAGAAATCAACAACCTTCGTTGCCTAGAAACCGTCCCTGGTGACGTGTTTCCGGATCCACGTAAACCTGATCGACCAATCGCTTGTCGACTCTTTGAATACGTTCAATGTGCCATGGCAACGGGTAAATACAAACGCATCAACTTTGAAATCAGCTATCAGTGAAGCAGTATTTATTGCAATTGAAGTTTTAAATTAACCGGGTTTTACTCGTTCGTTTAGGAAAAAGTGGCTCATTTGTTGGAAGTGGGTGTCGAAGGATTGAAGGACCCGAAAAGTGACTAAACTAGAAAATTAGCTATTGTAAAAAATGGCTTTTTGCCATAGAGCAAGTGAAATAATTATTTTGCCGGTCTCTCGAGACAGCGGCTTTAGCAGAGCAGCCGCAGACCCAACCATCGTCGTTGCGAAGGGGTGCGGGGCCCGTCGTGCTTCTTCCAGCGCACGGGCGCAGGCGTTCTTCGAGCGACTCGCCCCAACCAGCCCGGGCACCTGTTACTCGCTTGTCGCAGTTCCATCGTTCTTCATTGTTCGTTTACCGGCCGGTGAAATCACAAAATCCGTTCGTTTCAATTGTATCCAGTATCGTTCGTGCGTTCTGCAAATCGAATATTTTGTCGCAACATGTCTGAACAAGCCCAAGAGAATGCCGCCCCCGTCGTAAACGGTGAGCAAAATGGCGAAAGCAAAGATAAGGAAGTAACGGAAAATGGCACAACTGGCGAAACTGCCGAACCTGTTGCCGAGACGGAAAACGAAGCGCCCAAAAAAGAGATGAGGGCGGTCGTTTTGACCGGTTTTGGAGGCCTCAAGTCGGTGAAGATCCTCAAAAAACCGGAACCCACGCTCAATGAGGGCGAGGTGCTCATCAGGGTGAAGGCCTGGTAAGTTCCCTTTCACTTTTCAGTCAAGTTTCTTCAGTTTTTTGAAGTTTTCCAGTCCAAACCTACAGAAATCTGGTTTTTTTCTGCCTTGAAATTCCCAGAATTTGCCAAATACCCATTTTTTCCTTGCACGGTATTTGAAGATTTAGTAGTGCTTTTAAGCGCACAAACATCCATTCGAGGAATGTTGGAGCATTTGTATTTTTACGCTGCCATATGGCGAGAGGCGCTGATTGAAAGAGGGCGATCGATAAGTGAGGCGAACCCTCATCTCCCTAATGGGATGAAATCATGAAATACGAGGTGTGGGCAAATTCGATAACTTTCGTTTTAGTCAAACTGCTCGTTTTATTACTATGAGTTTGCACAGTTTATAGTTTTTTTCTGCGAAAACGGTTTCTTTTAAATAGTTTTTAAAGGGACTTTTGCACTCTTCAGGTCGGGGAATCACAAAACACAAGTTTCTTCCTTTGCTGGGCAGCATGAAATTCTTCGGGTTTTCTTTGAAGATTTCCTACAGACCGTATGATTTTTCGGGTAATTAGAAGATCAACTATCGGTTTTTCAGTGGTTTTTTTTAGATTTTTCTCAGGCAGTTTTTTGCCACTTTTTGTTCATTTTTAATCGTCTGTATTTTCTTAAAAAGTAATTTTTTTTGAGCAAGTAACATTTAATTCTCGAATTTTTTGTACAACAATCTTGCAACAGAGCATAAACGGGAATTGCTGAAGTTTCTTCTTTTGCTGGGCAGCATGAAATTATTCGGGTTTTCTTTGAAGATTTCCTACAAACCGTATGATTTTTCGGGTAATTAGAAGATCAATTATCGGTTTTTGAGTAGTTTTTTTAGAGATTTTTCTCAGGCAGTTTTTTTCCACTTTTTGTTCATTTTTAATCGACTGTATTTTCTTAAAAAGTTATATTTTTTGAGCAAATAACAACATTTAATTCTCGAATTTTTTGTATAACAATCTTGCAACAGAGCATAAACGGGAATTACTGAAGTTTCTTCCTTTGCTGGGCAGCATGAAATTCTCCGAGTTTTCTTTGAAGATTTCCTACAAACCGTATGATTTTTCGGGTAATTAGAAGATCAACTATCGGGTTTTCAGTGGTTTTTTTTAGATTTTTCTCAGGCAGTTTTTTGCCACTTTTTGTTCATTTTTAATCGTCTGTATTTTCTTAAAAAGTTATTTTTTTTGATCAAGTAACATTTAATTCTCGAATTTTTTGTACAACAATCTTGCAACAGAGCATAAACGGGAATTGCTGAAGTTTCTTCCTTTGCTGGGCAGCATGAAATTATTCGGGTTTTCTTTGAAGTTTTCCTACAAACCGTATGATTTTTCGGGTAATTAGATCAATTATCGGTTTTTGAGTGCTTTTTTTGAGATTTTTCTCAGGCCAGGAGATTTTTCTCAGGAATTGTTGAAACCCGATAGGGTTGCGACTTTCTCGTCTTTTGTGTCCGTTTTGTGCTTCTTGCTTTTTTTAATCCTCTCCTTTCTATTTTTTTCTCAGCTTTTTTGTAAACCCTTGTTTTTCCAATGCAAAAGTCGTTTTTGACACATTTTTCAACTCGTAACGAGTAAAACGTTAATTGATACGACATATTTTTATTATATAAAACAGGGTGGTTTAAAAGGAAATGTCTGAAGCCCATTTACAATTCGCACTCTCTCACGCGCTTTAAATCGATGAGTTTTCTATCATCTTCACATTTTGCGCCTTTTTTCCACTTTTTTTGTCAACCGTGTTTTTCCAGTACAAAAGTAATTTCACACATTTTTTTAACTACCAAAGGAGGATAACACAAATTGGGATCAGATACAGGGTGTGCCAATTTTCACGAAAAATTTGACAATTTATTCGCATTTTTCAATCCTTTAAATTGATGCCTTTTTTATTATCTTCACCATTTTTATGCTTTTTTCTCTTGATCTGCTCATTTCTATATTTTTTCCAGCTTCTTTATAAACCATATTTTTCAATGCAAAAGTCGATTTAGACACATTTTTTAACCAGCAAAGGACGATAACACAAATTGGGATCAGATACAGGGTATATCAATTTTCACGAAAAATGTGACAATTTATTCGCATTTTTCTGTTAGTTTATACAGAGTGTTTTAAAATTACTCTGCGGAAACCCGCTACAATTCGAACTTTAAATTGGTACATTTTCTATCATCTTCCCACATTTTTGCGCCATTTTCTCAATTTTTCTGGCTTGTTTGGAAAGCGCAGGTATGTTTCAAAGCAAATGCCGTTTTAAGCACCTTTTTTGTCTTAAACAGCATAGACAACGATGATATTGTATACATATTGGCATTTTTTCATTAGATTATCCGGAGTGTTTTTTCACTTTTTTCTCAAAATATTACGTTTCTCATCAATTCCCTTCAAAAGCTCTATTGAAGATTATCGGAAACTTCCATCGCAACTTGCTAGAGCAATTATTCCATAAATAAACGTTTTTTTGAAGTATTAAACAAATGTCCATATTAATTAAGCCACTTATTGTGGTTGATTTTAAATTCCTTTAACGCGATAGTGATATCAAAGGTCGTAGTAGCCTGGCGAAAAATATAAATATTGAGCTATCAGCGCTTCGATAAAATCATTAATAATTTACAATTGTTAATGTGGAAAGTAGAATTGGGCAAATAGTTGGATGGAAAAAGGCAAAAAACTCACAAAATAATTAATGAATAACTAGAAACTGTTCCTCCCAGCAGGTGTTTAAGAACTATAACACTTAAGTGCATTATAATTATCATCTACATTCTCAGCGATTTAAAGCCTTCATGCTTCTTAGGGTAAGGATACAAATCTACCTTGAGAGCGGTTATTAACATCGTTTTAGACTAAGTTCTTGCAGGATGTGTTGCGCTGTTCGAGTACCATCAGCGGACCTACTAATGTGATTTTTATTGTTTATGAACCTTGTAAAAGCGAGTTCATGGGATGCATATAATAATAATAATAATGTATAAATTTTCGCAACCCGATTGTGATTGTCACTAAGTAAATGATTTGAAAATAAACTGCAGTGATAAGATAAGGTTCTAAGGCAAGTAATTAAAAGCATTGTTATGTCGATAATGGTAAACTCATCAATAAAGCAGACAACTAATTGGCATGCGAAGTGTAACGCATAAATCAGCATGAAAATGTTGCAGTTGATGCCTTTGTGCACTTATTTTTCATGCAAATCGACATCGATTGGCGTGGGTGGATTTTATTTAACATAATGTTATCGGCGATTTGATTCGACCGTTCCTTCCAGCTGGCGTGGTTCCTCATTTGCTATGATTTCCTGAATAATGCTGCTAATATCCTGCCTAGATTGGAATTGTATGTGTTGTGCATCTTGTTCGAAAAATGCCATTCAATGACCGGATGCGCTTCTGGTAATAACGGACTTGCAGCAGCCTCGTTGTTAAATTTTTAATAATTCCCAGCAAATCCAAATTGAAACAGTTTGCCTAAAAATTGATTCATTCATATTTTCTTTATCTGTTCGGAATTCCTCAGCGCATTTCGTTATGTGACCGGATCGGTAATCTTAACTGACAGGGCCGGAAGTACTAAATAACTGCATGACAAGGGCACTTGGTTCTGATGGGTACCAAAAATAAAATATCAGTAGTTGTCTGGCGATCAGTGTTGAAGATCTTCATTTATTAAATGTGAAGACGGGCTTCTGGATTTTATTATCATCGTTGGCGTCACCGATTTGCCTTTCAACTCACATCCAAAACTCTCACTTTAATTGAACCCGACGCTGTCAATCTCGCTTTTTCTCTGCCTCCAAGAGTGTTATCACAGATGGTTTATCTTTGGGCCAATCACGCGTCGTGTTGTGTTTAAAAACACTCTAGATGGAACGTTTTCCATTAAGAAAAACTGGTGGTTTTTTTGCCCAAAAGGTTTCAATTGTGCTCATAAGCAGAGCGTTTGCAGCAGTTCTCGCACCAAAACCCATTAAATTTTACAGATGGAAAGTTTCTTGAATAAAATTCAAAACGGTTGCATACCGAGCCCAGATTTCTGAGCGTTGTACCAATGTGAACAAAATGTGCCGAAACTTCGTTCATTTACTTCATTTCACTTTATTTAAAAAATCTTATTTTTAACCCCACTGAAAAAAATTTTACATATGAATTACAGTTGAGTCCGGATATAACGAACTTGAAAAATGAACTAAAACTGGTTGTGTGGTGTATTTTATTTCGTTATTTTTACCTTTTACAGAGTAGTAGCAGTTAGTAGGTATGACTAAAAAGAACACAAAAAGATAAACAAAATTCAATTTGAAATCTACTTCATAGTCTGTAATTTTTGTTTGTACATTTCTGCTGCAAAAATAGATGTTATTTATGTAGTTTTCAAGATCACAAAAAAACTCCCAGATATGATTAGGAACTTGGCGTGATTGTAGAAAATTCCGAGTTTCTGACACTTTTTTTATCATTTCAGAAACAGCGTTAGTGTCTACAGTAGAATACGTTTCACCTAAATCGTAATCTTTCTCATTATCGCTTAAAGCTGTAGATGAGGTTTCGTAGTCTATAATTTGCTCATCGGTCAGCTTTTCTCTTGTAAGAATGCCATTACCAATGCTCACATATTCGAAGAAATTGAAATCACTCAATTTGGTTTTAACTTGTTCTTCGGCAACATTGGGACATCTTCGTCTGTGTCATACTCGTAGTCAGAGTCTTTATACTTTTCTAACCATTCGTTAAGT